CCTTTCAACAGAAATCCTTTTATGTCGAATAGCCTGTGACAACTGACGCTGAAGGTTTCCCAACCAGTGACCTTTGCACTTTGCTTAAAAGAGAAGTTTCTCAGTTCTGATTTTATTAATTTTGGCTTTCTAGTGTTTGAAGTGAACTTCACAGTGCACTATAGTATCTCCTGTAAGATAGTGAACAAAGTAGCTGATAGTCAATAGGTGTGGAGAGTGAGGTGATAACCTTTAGCAGAGCTAAGTACACTTTCAACTTCCCTTAATGTGGACACTAATCAGGATAGGCCCCAAATATTTTGCTTCCTGAGGCAAAGGTTGATATAGTGTCTCTCCCTTGCTCCATATACAGATGTCAACTGCACTGGCAATGTGATCTTAATTGGGCAAGGCTGGTTGTACGGTGGTTAAACTGCAGTATGGCAACCAAAACTCTGCTCACAACCTGAATTCAGTCGCAACAGGTTCAAGGTTGACTCCACCCTGCATCCTTCTGAGGTCAGTAAATTGTGCATCCAGGTTCCGGGGTGGGGTTGGGGGCAATATATAGCCTGCATAAATAAAACTGTAAATTGTAAACTGCCAAGATAGTGCTTTTAGCACTATGGGGATGTATATAAGCAGAACTCTTTGCTTTGCTTTGGTATGAGACAAGATCCTCCATAGACATCTGAGAACAGCAGGATGTCTAAAGAGGTACACAAAGTACTGCCTTCTAGCATATCACCACCATTCTCTACTCTCACAGTGCCTAATGGTAAGGATAACCCTGGCAGTAATAGAACAGGATTTTAATTATTTAACTAATTACAATTTTTTGTATGTAGAAAATGAAAAAAACCTGGGATTGCTAAGCAAAATGGCTGTCATTTTGCTCAAATTCTAGATGAGTTCATTTTCAGTTAGCTTGTTGGTTTATTCAACAGTCAATCTGCTACAACAAACTGTACACAAAATTTATATATACACACAAGGATATTCACGATGCTAATAAAAACACACTGATACTGCAAATGTGTACTTCAAGAAGTGACGTTTTAAACTGAGTGCTATTTTAATACTTCAACATATGAGCTAAAATCATGTGCAGTTACTCTTGTGGACAGGAAATGGCATGAGATGAAGCGGCATATCGCCACTAAAAAAGTCCATGCTTGGATTCCCCTCACTGATCGCCCATTGGTTGACCTGACATGCAAGAAGGAATCTAGGTAGGGACTCACTAATTAGTGGCTATTTGCTACTGGGAGTTTTACAGTTTCCATTCTACTGGGGATCTATGCAAGAGGATTTTGGCCCTGTTTCTATTAAAAATAGGTAAAACAGCACAAACATAAATGTAAGACATTGCCATATGCTTTCCATAAACAAGAAAGTAGCTTTGCCTTGGCTTTCTTCATTTTCACCCTAAGCTCAAATGTACTTGTTTGTCTACTGCCCATCCCTCTCCTCTATAATGATTCAGGTCAGTCCTGACACCAATTAGCTTTGTGTCAAGAGCCTAGAAAACTATGACTGGAATGTAAGGTGGTACAATCCACTACTGCTTACTCACTATCTTTTTCAATATTATTTTAGCCCTGAGTTTACATCAGATTCAGAACTTGTCATAAATATGAGCAGTGAATCAAACAAAAGAATAACTCACTGAATTAATTTCCTCTGTTACAACCTATTGTTGCCGGACTATGACTTCCTGTGGCTAAAATCTGTCAAGTGAGTAGAGTTTACTGATCAGTTCTGACATATTGAGTTTCCAGAGCAGCTCATTACACCTGTAACTATCTTGTTGAAAGAAATTGTCTTCCATGTCACAATTTTAAATTATGGAAATGACCAATAAGACTACGCTGTAGCTGAATATTTTAAAATGGAAAAGGAAGCAAAACCTTCATGCCACAGTACTACAAACTACCACAATGCCAAATTTGGGATGCATTCATAAGTCATATAAGGGGAGAGGGAAGCAGAATATTTTTACACCAGAGTAGGGTGTTTGGGGAGTAAAGAAAGAGGTAGGGATGAGTGAGCTGGTGGTTGGATTTTTTTTGACAAGGGTATAGTGTCACCATGTCACATTAAAATGCCAAATGCAGCTGTACCTGTATGCCCAGCTGAGTTCACTGAGGCTTTCCAAACACAGATTTATTGGATGATGTTGACATAAGATACACACCAAAATTAAACAGCCCTTCTAATTGCAAAGCAGGAAGAAAACCTATTTATATATAGCATAGAACAACAGTGGGGATTAAGCAGAAAAATATGCAAGTTATGCATTATATTTCATGCACATGAAACAAAATTAAGCAATACTAGTAAGTATTCATCAATAAGGATAGCTCTGAGTTTTGGATTGCTTCATTCCAAGACTGGTTAGAAGATAAAGAATATGACAAAAGTATGAGCAAAATGGACATGGCTTCCAAAAGAGAAAAGATGAGATTTTGAAAGAATGGACTGATGAGTGGCAATATGTTTTTGCCAAGCTGGTTAAGCCCATGAACACAGTTCTAAGCTCCACCCCACCGCCCATTCATCTATTCCTGCACAGGAAAAGAGCATTTCCAACTGATGCTGTATCAACTGTGCAGGTTTCAGGTGCAATTGCAATGGCTTATCAATCCATTAAAGCTCTCCATAGCCTGAGATCTTAAAGAATGCTTCTCCCGATATGACAGCCCCTCCCACCACTTCTAGCCAAGGCTTTCAAGGTCAGCTATGTGAACTGCCATTCTTTATATTCCCTTAGTGCAGAAACCTCTCTATTCTTGTTCTGATGTGCAGAAAACAACTGCTAAACTACAGAAATAACTTTTATTATTCGTGTTCAGGAAAAATATAAATATTTATTTAATCCAACAAGATTCTAATAACTGATGATGCTAGTGGATGCATTTATTAATGCAAATATAATACAATCTCATTTTTTTTTAGATATTGCTGTCGTAATGTCCCTCAAAACACTGGTGCTTTTAATGTGTCAAAAAAGAGTATGAATTTCTGTTGCATGAGTTTATTGTTGTAAATCATCTAATTCCAAAAATTAGGAGATTAGTTTAACCTCTTCCCTCCAGTCCTTCCTCCTGCAGTCTTAGGCAGACTTTTAATTGACTAAGACAGGGAGAAGTTCATTATGGTATGCTATATATATTGAATTGAGATGGGCAAGTTTTAATTTGCATTATGTTTACTATATTGCTTTAATTGATTATGAGCCACCTTGAGTTCCCTGTGGGGAGAAAAGTGACGTATTAAATCAGTCAACTAATTAAACAGCTAACCAACCTACATGTAGTTCCAAAACATAAGGCTCCGGACATTCTGGGACCACAGCATCAAGAAGCCGGAGGCAGCTGAGTTCTGGATAACACAGCTTCTGGAGGTTGCAGTCAAGTAACATCTGGGGCTTCAAATTTGGGAACCAGAATCTTAAGCACAATAAAGATGCTTTAATACAAATATAGTTTACCATATAAACACACAAATACACTATTTGTTCTTCAATGCTTTAAAATTGTGCTTTTAAAATTCAGTGCATGATTTTTAAAACATTGAACAGCAATTCAAACAAATCTATTCTTGATCACTTAAAATGTACACTTAGCAGAATGATTAAAGAAACAGAAGAAAAATTAAAATATTTTAATTTTTAAAGATGTTTCTGCTTTCTTTAGTTACTCCTTCAAGATGGTGGTTATAGAAACTATAGGACAGAATATTTCAGTGGAATGGATTATGTCAGGGGTTGCTCTCTGGGTTCTGGCTATAAGGTACTCCAAGATGCCAAGTTTATAAACCGGGAAGTTCTCTCTTAGCTTCTACAGTATTTGAACTGATTGATTTCACCCAGTTACTGATATGTCAGATGGGCTATACAGTTCAAAGTTAAACTGTCTACTCAGTATTTATTACAATTACCTGGCCAATATTGCACATTTATGATTTCTGAGGTATGTGTGATTTAAGAGGATATAATTTTATCTATATACAACGAATAATATCCTAGCCATCTGCGTTCAGTCACATAAATGAGATTGCAAGATCTACACATGAAGTTCTGGCTAACACAGTAGGTCCTGCCAGTCCCTGTGCTCTTAAAGGTAACTGCCTTCCTAAGAAGCGCACACATTTGGAAAAACTAAATACACTATGGGAAATTTGGAGCATCTTGCAAAAGCCATCAGCAATCCTCTTGTGATGGCTTTCCACCATTTATCAATCTACAGTAATTACTTGTAAGAGCTTTCCTCAAACCATCAGTATCTCTGGATCACCCCCTTGTGATCTCCAGTGTTCTACCGCTTGTGTCTTTCTCAGGAAAAAACATTACGTTATACTCATCAGCTGTAGTCAAATGCTAGACCCAGCAGTGGAGGCTGCAGCTACAACTGTAACTTCAAATATTTCTCAACAGCAGCAATACTATAAGTATAAATGACTGAATCCTCAGTTCAACAGTTTAGATCACATAACAAGATCTGTTCCTACCCATGTAAGAATGAAGGTAAACATTTGGTGTCTAATTTGTAGAATAAAGTCAGCTTGAGGTGATATGAATAAAATTTATCATAGGAAAGTATAGGATCTAAAATTACTATATAGAAAATAATACATAGTGCAAAAACATTATTTGGGATAAAAACATGACAGTTTAACATCAAGATTGCAATCCTGCTCTCTATTGTACAGTAAATTATTTCTGCTTCATTCATGGGAGGTTAGGTAGACAGAGAACTGCTGCCTTAACTTTACAGGGGACAGATGAAAATACTGTAGTCAGTTACATTTCAAAGCTGGATTTGTCTCTGAGAGATGATAGAGACAGTTATTTTTATTGTCTCAGGACATAAAACAATAACAGCAAACCCAACAAAATTCAAAGCAACATGAGAACTAATATTGAGGAACAGGGAACATGCCAACAATAACAGTCCATGCCTCAAGAAAAACAACAAAAAACAGAAAGGGGGGGGGAAAGGAAAAGGAAAAAAAGCTACCTTCTGCAGTGCCCGAAATACCATCAGCTTTAAAATTGCTTGTGCTTTTCTTCCTGCGGTGCTTTTTTCTGTTTCCATGAGGGGAAGGGGGAGGGTCCAGCTTAGGACTTGTGGTACTAGAAATACTTGGGCTGGAGCACACAGAATCTCCCAAGCCAGTATCTATAAATCAAGAGAATAAAATGTCAAAACATGAGGTAAGGTGCATTTCTATTTTCCCAGTAAAAACTAAGCAAGCACAGAAGGCAATTATAAATAATAATACTAACAATACTTGTGTGCTGATAAGTCAGTTCTAACTTAGAGCAACCCTTCCAGATGTAACAGTGCTCAGAAATGGTTTACCATTTCCCTCTTTTGGGGGCACTCGAGGACTGTGCAGCTTGCCCAAGATGACACAGGCTGGATCTTCTTCCTGGAGGCACGCTGGGGAACTCTCACCTCTGGCTCTGTAGCCAGATACCTAACTCACTCTGCTGTCTAACCAAGGAAGACACATATTTGTAGTTAAACTATAGCTCAGTTTTCCTACCAGAAAAATAATCTTACTAATTGTGTGTGGAAGCCTGTGAAAAATATTTAAAGGATTAAGAAAAGGCCGGGTGGTTCAGAATTACACAAATGCAGAATTAGGATGATACCTTTATTGAAACACTAAATCGCACAAATTGCAAGCTCTGTGAGAAAGAATTCACTTCTTCAGGCTGTGCACCATCCCTTCATGGACAGTGCATAAAAACTGCAGCCTGAAGAAGGGAGAATTTTCTCATGAAAGCTTGCAATATGTGTGATTTTTAAGTAGTTCAATAAAGGCATCATCATCCTACTCCTGCATTTGCAAAAAGAATTGGTTCTGACAACTGCTTTATGTATTCCCCTTTCAATGCCAGCACTAGTCTGCTCACACCTTGGCTTTGGCTAGTAGAGATTCAAAATTTCACAGCAAAGAGCCATTGTAACAACTTATTTGTTCTTTCTGTTGCCAGAAAAGCATACACATTTCTGTAAGATCTGCCTGGATCTGCCTAAGATTATCTCAGAGGTAGTATGGAAAGATTCTAAGACTCAGTTTGGGGGAAGAGCAACATTTCTTCTTAGGTATTATTTACAGGATCTATTATTTACAGGATCTATACAGGATTTATTATTCATGTAAGCCGCCCCAAGTAGACTTTGTCTCGAGGGGCACGGTATAAATTCAATAAAAGTAAGGTAAAGGAAAGGATCTGGCTGAAGAATTCATGACCACCAAAGGAACCATGGGACTATCTCAATACTTTGTTGGCCTAATGCACATGGCATGACATAAAACGGAGACCTGGCTTTTGCTGCTGGGCAGATGATGGAGGATTCAATGACTCCATTGTTATGGACATATACAGTGGTGCCTCGCAAGGCGAATGCCTTGTGGGACAAAAACTCGCAAGATGAATGGTTTTGGCGATGGGGTTGATGACTCACAAGACGAATGTTCCTATGGCTGTGCTTCGCAAGACGAATGTGAAGGCAGATGTTCCTGCCTCATGTTTGCTGATTTTTAAATGTTTTTCTATGATGTTTAAAAAGTTTTTTGATTGAAATTTTTGAAAGCATCTGCACAATATGTATGGCTTTAAAGAGCACTTAATAAACAGTTTGTAAACCAAATCTGACTTTATCCTTAATAAACAGTTTGTAAACCAAATCTGAATCTATCCTGACTTTTTTTGTCCATAGGAACGCCTTAATTAGACTTCAGTGCATTCCTATGGGAAAATGCGTTTCGCAAGATGAATTTTTCGCAAGACAACATTAACTGCGGAACAAATTAAATTCGTCTTGCGAGGCACCACTGTAATTCCTCATGCAGTCTGGAGTGACAGTAGGAGATCTTCCCTACAGCAATAGGGGAGCAGTTAAGATGGCAAGGCCCAGTATGGTACCTGAGGGATTCTTGAATACTCTGGGGGAATTCCGTGCCAGCAATTCAACTGAAAACTTAATTCCCTTCTCTGTTAATGAGATGGCCATTTTGTCTTTCTCAAAATTAACTTTGTGTTTGGGTTCTTAATAAATGAGGTATCTCATCTCCCTATACACTCATTAAAATCTTGCTGGGAACAGTACATGACATGGAATATAGTATGGGACATGCTGTAGCACCCTGGTTGTGAAACATCCTCCCCTTAGAAACATAACTGTTGTGGGTGTTGATTTACCGGTACTTAAGATGCCAAGATAAAACTGAAATGTTTATTCAGGTTTAGAGACCTAGTGCTCACAGCCTGGTTTAATTTACTGGATTGCATGTTTGTTGAATTATTTTACATTAAAATTAATTGTTTAACACTTTTAAGCTGTGCTACTTGTAGGATGCTAGAATTCAGACACAAGGTGAGATACAAATAGTTTAATAAATATTTTTATTTATTTCTATTATCTTCCCCTCAAAATTAGAACTCAAGGCTGTTTACCAAGATTAATTTAAAATAGTACAAATAAACCTACACAAGAAATATTAAACTCATAATATTAAAACAGACTTGTGTTAGCAGCATTTGGAATGAATGAATGAAAAAAATTAATAAAGGAAGGAAGGACAAATGGAAATATTTCATGAACTAGAAAGTGGCTTTTCATTGGTGCTTCATGTGAGCTTCCAAAATTAATCACTGCTACAGGTGCCTGATAATTTCTGCAAACCTGGAAGCTATTTTGTGAACCTGTCCCTCATTTACAATGATATGTCAAAGGATGGTATCCAGGTGCAACAGGATGTGAGCACACTATATTTTGAAATTGTTAACATCAGCTGAAGACTCTTCTGCATTTTTCTTTGGAGTGTAACTGTTTACAAGGTACAACTAGAAGTTACACATAACCCCAATAGAATAGATTTCCAAGTAACCCAGTTCTATATGTGATCAGGGTTAGGCTTTCCTGAGGTTCTCTTCATTTTAAGAGGTGGACAGTTCTTTCTTTAAACTTAATAGTCCTGGCATTTTCTGCTGTTCCTTCAGGATTCACATTTTTCATTGATTTTAATCTGAGAGGTTTAGGAAAAGGGGATGAGTATTTGACATAGAAGCTTTTAGTCTTTCACTATTAGCTTTTACAGGCGTAGCTCGATTTACGAACACTTCAGTGTGACACTCGACAGTGCTACTCCTGTTTATTTTGGCCCTCACAAAGTCTCACACCCTTTTCTCTTCTAGCTGCCACCAGGTATTATCCTCCTAATACCGATTATGTATGCTATACATGTGTGCTGCCAAAGCTAAGGTTTATAGAACTTAGGAATCAGAGGTTTGAGTAACAAATATTCATTTATTGTCAAGTAAATCACAAAGGTAAATCACGTATGAACTGTAACAGGTGTTACCAAGGATTTGATTATGTATGGGGTTGCAAGTACTTTTATTCTGAACTACTATATACTTTTAATCAATATCTATTTTATAGTACTTATAATTTCATTCCTACTTGTTCAATATATTTTAACTTTCTCAATTCACTCTCTTAACTCTCTCAGCTCAATTCACTAACCCTCTTCTTCTCTCTCCTAAACCCTAACTGCTATTCCACATCTCCAACTGTCTCTCTAGCTCCCCCCCTCCTGCCCTATCCTTGGCTCCTCCCTTTTGAGCTTCTATGATGGACAGGCAGGAATGATGTCACCTGTTGGCATTTCGCCACACTTGGTTAACGTAATTTTAGGTTTACGAAAGAAAATCCATTGAAAATAATGCGTCGGTTTACAATTTTTTTTGCAATATGAAGCAAGTTTTCCCAGGATGCATTGTGCCTGGGAGGTTTATAGCACTGACCCTGTGCATGAGTTCCTATGGGAAACCACGTTTCAGTTTGCACATTTTTTGCAATACCAAACATATCGGAGAACGCATTAAATTTATAAACTAAGATACACCTGTACAGTGGTGCCTCAACTTACGAACTTAATCCGTTCCAGAATGGTTTTCCTCCGTCAAAATGCTCGTAAGTCGAACCACCATTTACCATTGAAATGGATGGGAATGGGATGGATCTGTTCCAGCATGTAAAAAAAATGCCAAGTTTTTTAAAAATAAAATAGAAAGCCCCATCAGAAGGCACTGGGACTTAAAAAAAAAAACAACAACAACCAAAAATAAACAGAGCAAGCCCGAAGGCTGCAAAAACAAACCAAAAAAACTCCAAAAATAAACATCAAGCAATCCCTACACTGGGACTGCAAAAAGGTGGTCAGGCACTCCCATTTCTTTAAGAACTTGCCATAGTTTGCTGTGGTCCACAAAGTCAAAGGCTTTTGCGTAGTCAATGAATTAGAAGTAGATGTTTTTCTGGAACTCTCTGGCTTTCTCCATAATCCAGTGCATGTTAGCAATTTGGTCCCTAGTTCCTCTGCCCCTTCAAAATCCAGCTTGTACTTCTGGGAGTTCTCGGTACACATATTGCTGAAGCCTGCCTTGGAGGATTTTGAGCATAAGCTTGCTAGCGTGGGAAATGAGTGCAATTGTACGGTAGTTGGAGCATTCTTTGGCACTGCCCTTCTTTGGGACTAAGATGTAGAACGATCTTTTCCAATCTTCCCTCCACTGCTGAGTTTTCCAAACTTGCTGGCATTTTGAGTGTAGCACCTTAAAAACGTCATCTTTTAAGATTTAAATAGTTCAGCTAGAATGCCATCACCTCCAGTGGCCTTGTTGTTAGACAAGCTTTCTAAGGCCCACTTGACTTCACTCTCCAGGATGTCTGGCTCAAGGTCAGCAACCACGCTATCTGGGTTGTCCTGAACATCCAAATCTTTCTGGTATAATTCCTCTGTGTATTTTTGCTACCCCTTCTTGATGTCTTCTGCTTCTGTTAGGTCCCTACCATTTTTGTCCTTTAGCATCTTCATCTTTGCACAAAATGTTCCTTTAATAGCTCCAATTTTCTTGAACAGACCTCTGATTTTTCCCTTTCTATTATTTTCTTCTATTTCTTTCCACTGTTCGTTTAAGAAGGCCTTCTTGTCTCTCCTTGCTAATCTTTGGAAGTCTGCATTCAGTTTTCTGAAAACTTCCCCTGTCTCCCTTGCATTTTGTTTCCCGCTTGCTGGAGTTTTGCTGCTATTATGGTCTTTGTGTCAGCAACACATTCTTTAATAAGAAGTTGCAACAGAAAGTTTCCTGGAGACATCC